AATGTCCATTAAATAACAATAATACTAAATCTTGCATTTGATGTAGCGCCTTTCATGCTGAAAGCCTCAAAGCTCCTCACAAGGTATACTGTAATGTATTGTTACAGCCAACCAGATTTACACAGAGTTACATAGAGTCGTATGGCATGGATACTGGCTGTTCGGTTCCCTTAGTCCAGGCTGTTGTTTATATTCCACATAAGTCCTCAACCCCCTCCTTTAAAACAAGATTGAGATTTAAAATAAATTTTGGTGGAGGAGTTATATAGATAGCTAATGTGAGGTGGGATTTTCATGAGGTAACTGATAATAATAATAATATAATAATACATGCATTTGATATAGCGCCGTATCACATCTTCGAGTGGCCTCAAAGCGCTTCACGGGATATAGTGTAAAGTGAATTGACTGTGTATTTTGTGGGCGAAAAGCGACAGCCAATTGCACACAGCAGTTTAGGAACTTAATGGGTTATTTAGATAGAAAGTTGATGTAAAGACTCTGCTGTCAACCAATGGATTGTTGAAGCCGCTGGCTAGTGTGAAACTCAACCTTACAAACTGGTAGTGTCACTGGTTTAATTGCTAGCTTGTGCATTCTATTACCTCATCTCTCAGAACTGCTACCTGGGCTGGAGGTTGGGAAAATCAAGCAGGATTCCTGCACCAGGATTACGGTGAGGACATGATCAGAATTGACTGCATTGCTCCTCGCGGTTGAGTAAACTGCTGCTTACAGACAATGTCCATGTTCACACTTCAAGATGGGTCACTTGAAGATGACCTGTAACCCAATGTGAGGTAGACCCTTCAGGAGAGGAGAGCAGAAAGTTCTAAGGACAGAAAAAAAAGCTGATGTGAAGCAAACTACAGATTATAATAATAATAATCCTTGCATTTGATATAACACCTTATCACGACTTTGAGATGTTTCAAAACGTTTCACAGAAGCAATCCACCAATCGACTAACAATCGTGTTCTTACTCACTGCTAGGTAAACAGACGTGTGGAGTAAGGAAACGTGCCTAAATTTTTACCCCGCCCGGGAATCGAGGTGTGGCACATGCTCTAGCCATTAAGCTACAGGACTCTACAGAGGAATGTTGCCAATTCTTAAGATTTTGTAATAATAATCCCTGATAATCCTTTTATTTGATGTTGCACCTCATCACATTGTCAAAACACTTCCCAGGATGTCGCCTCCAACCGAGCAGTGCTGTCTGACTGAGTTCAAAGTTCCTACGTGAAGCCTGAACTCACAACCTTCTTGATTCAGAGGCATGACTTACCAACTAACACTGGGAGTATTCTGAGCCATTTTTCTAGTGACTGGCTCATATTACTGCCGGTGGAAGTACAAGCAGATCATTTAACTGCCCGCTCAGACAGAGCTGGCACATGACAGGATGATATCAGCAAATAGGAACAAAACACAGAGGGAATCTACCCTCCTGTCAAAGTAATGTACCAGAGAAATAAAATGCAAGCAACCTCTTTCAAAACGTTTAAATAAAAGTGAGCCCAGTTACAATTTAGCCATAATAAAAAATAAAGGACCATCAAATATAAAAGTGAGCTAGGGGATTAATACCGTTGAGAAACATTTGCAAAATATGAACTGATTTGTGTGGACTTTACTTATGGTAATAGACCGCTATAGGGGCTATCCATTATTCAGCTAGGACTATTGCTATGGGCATTTACGTTACAAGTTACATTTAAGTCTCCACAAACAGCTTCTCCTCCAGCCCCCGCACTGTCCCGTGCGGTATTCCTCAGGGCTCTGTCCTCGGTCTCCTCCTCTTCACCCATTACATGCTCCCCCTCGGTGACATCATCCGCAGACGTGGTGTAAATTTCCACATGTATGCGGATGACACCCAACTCTATCTCTCTGCCTCCACCCTCAACTCCAGGACTACTGGCGTCCTGACAGACTGCCTGTCCGACATCAAGTCCTGGCTGACGGATAACTTTCCCCAACTGAACGTCAGCAAGACCGAGGCCCTCCTGATTGGCTCGCGCCAGCGCCTCCGCACCTCAGGCACTGGCAGCATCAGCCTTCACAGCTACACACTCAACCTCACTAAGCCAGTCAGGAACCTGGGTGTCTTGTTTGACCCTGAACTGTTCTTTCTCCCCCACATCTGCACCATGTCCAGCACTGCCTACCACCACCTCTGCAACATTGCCAGACTCTGCCACTGCCTCACCCCTCAGGCTACCCATACATTCATCACATCAAGGCTCGATTATGGAAACTCCCTCCTCATCGGCCTTCCCAACTCTTCTCTTCACAAGCTGCAGATCATCCAAAACTAGTGTACTCTCGCGCACCAGGCTCCATGACCCCATCGATCCCACACTCGCCCGACTCCACTGGCTTCCCATCCCTCAGAGGATTGAATTCAAGATCCTCGTCCTCACTTTCAAGGCCATCCTTGGCCTTGCCCCTCCTACCTTTCTGACCTGCTGACTCCCTACCAACCTGCCCGCTCCCTCCGTTCAGCAGGCTCCAGCCTGCTCCATGTCTCCCGCCCGACCAGACCTACCTTTGGTGGCTGGACTTTCAGCCTCTCTGCCCCCACACTCTGGAACTCCATCCCACAGTCCCTTTGCCTCGGTTCCTCCCTTGCCTCCTTCAAGGCCAGTCTCAAGTCCCTCCTCTTCGATCGTGTCTTCAGTCGCACTCCCACCTCTCTGCCTTCCCTCACCTCTACCCAATGCTCGGGACCTGACCCCTGACTGTCCTTGGGGTGTCCTCCCAACGTGAAAGGCACTCTTTAAATGTAATTTTGTTGTTACATCAGCTTGGCTTTATTCACCTCCAAAATCTCTTACTTACTATGAAAAAAAGACATGAAAAAAGCACAGAATAAAGCAAAGTCTGACCAGCTGGGAAAAAATTACATTCCAAATGAATAATGAGAGAAAGCGAACAGCATCTCACTGCCTCAGGACTCTGTGTCTTTAAGAAGTCAGAAATTGGTTCAGTCTCGAGAGAAGATGATGCAGAGGGGACCTGGTAGAGGTGTGTAACATTTTAAATGGGACTGAAAAATTAAACCCAGAACAATACTTTAGATTGCAGGAGAACATAGGTTTAGAGTTGCAAAGGGCAGTTTCAGGACAGACACCAGGAAGTATCTCTATACCCAGAGGCATAAAGTGAAACAGGTTGCCAGGAAGAGTGGTTGAGGTCAGGACGCTAGGCTCATTAAAAAAAAACTATGGCTAAAATGCTGTGATGGGAGTATAGTCGGGTGGGTATTCAGTAGTAATGAGATGAGCTGAAGGGACTTATTCTCCTGATGATCTTATGATTGAATGGCCTCCACCTGTTCATGGTTTCCTATTTCCCCAATCAAGTGCATTCTACTCAGTGTTTTAAGACTTCAGCAAATGTGTGTGGCTGCTCCACTCTTTTGCTGCTCATTCACACTGCAGGTAAAGTGTGCATCATTTTTTTAATATAGTACAAGGCAATTTTTTTTAGTATCCACCGGTAATGTCAGTACAGTGTTGCTCCAGTACCACGTGAGAATGTATGAACCAGCATCAGGAAAGACTATTGCTGCAGTCTTTTTTGATAGACTAAAAGTTTTTAAAAAATCCTACACAACACTACTGTCTCTTATAACCCTTTTTACTTGATAGTTCTCTAATTCTCTCTTGCAATTGCTTACACTTTCTGCCTCCATGTAGCCCTGGCTAATCCATTTCCACATATTCACCACTCTGTCCAAAGGGATTAAATGGAATGATCTGCTCACTTATCCCTCTTCTGAGTTCCCCGACCGTGTTCGCTTGTTTTTGACCACAATAGTCGTATTATTCAGGTTCGGTTTATCTTTTCCTTCAGAAGCTGGAGCTAAAGGTAGTGATCTCGACTAACTATTGTCAGCTTCTGCCGCCTCACCTTTTAACTTGCAGCATTCAACCTAATCTTAGTTGGTTTACTGTATCAGTACTTCAGATTTACTCCTGGGGCTCAGGAGGTGCAATTTCAGGATGTTTATGGAGGTGCTTTTTCCTGCTTGTCACCATTTTGTGGTGGTGTCTTATTGAATGCTCTCCGAGTTGCCTAATTTAAACAGGGTGGGGACTTTCACTTTCAGCTGCACTCAGTGTCTCTCCTCTCGAGCTTGTGTGGTGTGTGTTAATTTACCTGGAAAGAGTAATTGAAATCCAGGATTTGTTTCAGAATCTCGTCCTCAGGAAGAGAAAATATTTTTGATTGCACTTTCAATCATTTTTCTCTTCCCACCCACTCGTCTCCTACACCCAGCTCAGATGCCAAGCCAGGACTGTTAAGCTCCTTGGGACCTCCTTCCGACGTGAAAGGCTCTGTAGAAATACAAATTTGTATTGTGTTGATAATCTCTCACAGGCTGAACATTTTAAATAATAATAATCCTTGCATTTGATATAGCGCCTTATCACATCTTCGAGATGTCTCAAAGCACTTCGCAGAATATACTGTAAAGTGAATTGAATGTATATTTTTTGTGGGCGAAATGTGGCAACCAATTGTGCACATTTTTAGAATGCGTTCATTCCTAAAGTTAACATAATACAGCACAGAGTGAAAGGGTTAAGTAAAAGACCCAAATAAAACAAACTGTTTTGGATGACTTTACTGTTACAACCTCTCTGTTGTTTGTTCCCTCCTCACAATAAAGTGCTCTTTCTAAACAATTTATTTTTTACTTCTCAATACACATTCTGTCTTTGAACATTTAGACCCATTGAATGTGTAAGGCAGACCAAAGCATTTAACACGGTGGATGGTCAGTTTACAATAACACCTATTTCGGTCACACTTGCAGTGAACGTGTCTTCATAGACAATGGTGTTTAAAAAGTCTTTTGTTCTTTGATTTATATTTTTTAAACGGCAGCTAAGATTATTTTTGAATTCTTTCACTGCCGTTAAATCAAGAAAAAGCCGAAATTGTATGTTTCTATATTAACTGTCATTTTTTTCTTTTTTTAAAATAGGACAATGATGTCATATACTACAATGCAAAAGATGAATATATGAATGTAAGTATTTTACACTAGTTATTTCAAATTGTAAATTTCAAAAAAAAATTGATTATTTTCCTCCCCAAAAAAGTTTGCACTAAAGTAATAATCTTGTTAACACAGACCGAACTACAGGGGCTGATCTCAACCCAGGAAATGAGCATTATATAAAGCAGGTTAAAAGTAGCAAAGAAATTGGACCAAAAACAACAAATTCCACTTGTCTAGCGCCTTTCGGGTCAGGAGGATGCCCCAAGGCACTAAACAAATGTGATCATTTTGTCTTAAAATTTAAGATGGCAGAAACTTTAATTTAAAAGCTGTTTTATTCACAGTTCTGAAAATCTGTGTCTTAGCCACTATTGCATCTCTCTGCAGCCCTTGGCAGCTGTTTGATGTGTAACCAGTACTTGAGAACTGTTCAAATGTGATTATTCTCTTTGATAACCATGTTCATTATTACAGATTTTAAAGCGACAATTTGGATTCAAGAAGTATCAGGTTATGTGTGGTTTATTGGATTGTAGATCTAGCTAATATAGATTAGAATAAAACTATAGAGTGCTGCAATTTTTTTAACATTTAATTCTGAGGTATTTCCCCAAAATAACTTTAATGTAATTGTTGTCCTCACTTAAGTTTAACACTTGTCTCACATACGGTTCCTGGATAAATAAGTGCATACCCACGCTAGGTATAACACAGTCCCATTCAAAGTGATATTTGATGCTTAATGGAGGAAGGGGAAAGTAAAGTGCAAAACAATACTTTCAGACATGCCGACTCTGTTTAGTTGTGAATTTTTGGGCAAGCACCAAGAAGTGTTTCTTTACAAATAGACTGGGTTAGCAGAAAGGCCAGGGCTGGAGTCATTGAGATGTAATGGGAAGACAGTAGGGATTGATGTTCTGAAATAATGCTTAGGGGCCTTCTTCATCTGAGTCAGTCTTGTGGTGGCCTGTCACTCTCCTTAATCAGTGGGGAGAGAGTTGCTGAGTCTGGGGCCAGAAAGGTCCCACGGTTCGATGACCAGTCTGTGCTGGGTTACCTTTACTGAGGTGGGATGATAGCAAGGGTGATCATAATTGACCTCAGTGAGTTTGCACAAGTAAGAAGGAAAACAAAGCAGAGAAAGGTGGCTTTCAGCAGCAGCAAATGTGGTCACTGTAACTGTCAACAAAACAAACATTTTCCAAATTTAGGATATTTTGTGGGAAGTATTTTGGAATTAAGATAAGAAAAACAATTGTGGAGAGGAAAAAAAAGGTTATTTTGTGTAAATTTAATAAAACATTTGTGAATTTGAACTGTACTAATTGCAGTTATGTTTTACTGAACACCTATGTCATCAATTTACCAGCATGTTTGTGATTTTATTATTTCTAAAACAGACATCTCTTTCTAAAGATTTACTCACACTTTTTAGTTGGAATTCTAATCATGGATACTTGAAATGTAATTTGTTTCTAATCTCAGCCCAGGGTGTGTGGTATGTTTTCAAGCTGTGATAATTGATCACCACCTCAAGTAGTTGATAATTATCACATCACATGTCGCATTTTTCACCCCCATTGTAACTCCGTCTGAATTGAGTTCCCTCTTCATCAAACCTGTGAGCAGCTCATCTGACATGGACTTTCATTCACCAAGAGAATTGTTATTCGTTTCCTGAATGGTGTTTGACACTGTGGCTGAGAGCTGATATCCAGTACTCCGTCCATGTCAGCCATTGTGTGTTAGAATATGACCGGCCTGGATGGAGAGTGAAAGTACTGAGTTTAACCACTGAACATTGACTGAATAGCTCTGTGATATTGCTGGATGTCATTCGCTGACAAGCCAGGCTGAGGTGTCAGCTCCCTCAATTGGTAGCACTTTTGCCTCCGAGTCAGAATGTGGTGGGTTCACGTCCCATGTCAGGACTTTGAATCCTGACTTGGCTTGACACTCCAATACAGTGCGAGGGGAGTGCCACATTGTTGGAGGTGCCATCGTTCAGATGAATCATTAAATCAAGGTCCCTGTCTGCCTGTTCAAGTGTATGTTGAAGATTCCATATCACAGTTCGAAAAGAGAATGGAATTTCTCCTGGTGTCCTGGCTAACAATCCCCGAGATGAAAGAAAAATGCTCATTCGCTTCAAGGCTTTTATGGAACATTGCTTTGTACAAATTGGTTGATGTGCTTACCTAGTAAAGCACTGTGAAGTGCTTTGAGATGTTTTGATGACAGGTACTGTTTCAAGTTGAGGATTATTATTATAAAATAGCACAAGGTTGCTATATCGTTTGACAGATAATCTACTGATTGGTGAGGACGTAGCTTCAGGGGAATAAATCAGGTAATTTGACCTAAATATCACAACCTGCTATTTTAAGGCAAATCACAATATTATTACTGTTTTGAGCAAAAACACTCGCAAAATGAACTTGTCTCATAGGAACTGTGTATTTTTGTAGGCTTTTCTATTGTACTAAAAACAGAAGTCGTTGGGAACAATCAGCAGGTTAGGCAGCATCTATTGAGAGAGGAAAGTTAGTTAACATTTAGGTCTGAAACATTAACTCACTTTCATCTCTCTGTAGATGCTGCCTGACCTGCTGAGTGTTCCTAGCGATTTCTGTTTTTATTTTAGATTTCCAGGATTTGCATTATTTTGCCTTTTCTATTGTGCTTATTGCTGGCTTTTTTCAAAATCTGTTTGAGTTCTTTTTTCACTTTACTCATCATCCTTAAACTTGGTCATTCACTTCATGGCTGTTTGCAGGACATTATTGTGTGCAAATTACCTTCAAAATACAGTCACTGCACCACAGTAAAATCCTCTGAAGTGCTATGAGATGCCCTCCCGATGTGAAAGCCATTATATCAAATACAAAAATAATTATTATTACGTTTTGAGGGTAATATTACAATTAATACTTTAAGAAACCCAAAGAGCTGGATATTTCAGCAAAAAATCCTATTACTGGGAGTCTCATGAAGTCTTCCAAATAAATGGGGTTATTTATGGGGTTTCTAACTGTATATTCGAAGCTAACTAACTGTTTCAGTTGGCAGTTAAATTAAGTCGCTGCTAAATCATAAGAATTTCATAAAAGATACTGTTCACTATTGTAATTAATTGAACCCAGGTAAATGTGCCTTTCAGATTATTTTTTTTACAATCACCAGAGGTTTATTTTGGGATGGGAAAAAATATATAATTTTTCCATAAATAAGCCAATGGGGAAGCTGGCACAAGCATTGGCTTCATGTGCTGAATGGTTTCGTTTCACTGTAATGTCTTTAATTCTATAAACAGGGTCAAATACATTCTGAGTATCCCTCATGCCAATCGATGATCACTGCTGTGCATAATTGGCACCTGCTTTTTGCCCACAAAAATACCGTCAATGCACTTTGCAGTATATTCTGTGTAGCGCTTTGAGATGTCTCAATGACGTGATAAGGCGCTACATCAAAATGCAAAGATTATTATTATTTATGGCCTTTATTTTAAAAAAATTACATTTGTCTCCTTGCTTCTCTTGAAAATGTTGACGCTGGTAATTGGCCCACTTGGCAACTCTAATCTGTGGAAAAATACTGGGTCGTTGATAGCCTGCAAGGTTCTGTTTCATTCTAGGCAGTGGTTTTACCAACTCAATCCCTCAGAATGTGTTTTCCTTTCCACACACACAGACATGCAGAGAGAGAGAGTAATTTCCTCCTCAGTGAGATAAAACAAAAGTGCTCAGGAAAAAGGGAAGCATAAATGTCACTGGAAAAAGTACCTTGGGACGTAAAGTGAGCATCTCATTGGAAACATCATCTATGTCTCTCTGACTCGGGTAACCTGCAGTCCGAGATGTTCTTGGGTCAAACCAAGTCCTCTTGAGATGGTGTGATTTCTCGGAGGAGATGCACTTTATGTATCAAGATGCTTTTTCCATTGCGGTGTGATTTTCCCGATGTTTGCCTTTTGTGCACACAATTCCTAAACTGGGAAGGTGGGTGGGCTATGGCTGCCAAGCGTCACTGATGCTGTTTGGAATTCAATTCTGGCAGGCAAACCCAGATTTCCTTCACGGTGGGGAAACAACTCCCTGTTATCCTCTCACATTTGGCTGATCACAGGGCGAGACAATCCCAGCCATTAACTTGTGTCCCATGGCCACAACTAACTGGCTATAATATGCTTCACCACCGTTTTGCTGTTATTGGATCAAGCAAAGATCTCGTGAGTTAGAGCGATACATTTTGCCGTTTGTTTGAGAGGTGAGGTATTGGGAATCGTGGTGGTTGACAGACTGAAATTACATTGGGGGGGTATTTTTCGGGATTTTTATTAAAACGCCTATATTAAAAGAATTTGTATTCATAATAATAATCATATTCCTTGCATTTGGTATTGGGCCTTACACGTCTTCCAGACGTCTCAAAGCACTTCACAGAATATGAAGATTTTTTTGGCCAGGACTCTGAGATAAACCCCCTAAGATAAACACCCCTCTATTTTTCATGTCCAACTTAACAGCCAGACAGTACCTTGGTTTAATTCATCATTTGAAAATAATAATAATAATTATTATTATATCATTTAAAACGCATTACTTTTGAAATAAGAATAATATTCCTTGCATTTTAGATCAGGAGGACATCTCAAAGCACTTAATTTGCATTTTGTCGAAAGTATAGCAACTGTGTATTTATGAACACGGCAGTGAATTTGTGCACAGTGATGTCCCACAAACAGCCATGGAGTGATTGACCAATGCTATCTGGGGGATTGTTGGCCAGAACGCTTGGAGAAACTCTCTTCACCTTTTCAATAGAATTGAATTGGGATTTTTAATGTGACCTGAACATGCAAACGTTACCTTAGTTTAACATCTCATCCAAAGGTTAGCATCTCCAACAATGCAACACCCTCCCCTGCCCCCCCCCACAACCTCCCAGCGCCGTGATAAACTGTCAGCCTGAACTGTGACAAAGCTACAGATGTGACCATCTCCAGCAATGGCTCAGTTTTGGTAACTGGTGCACAATGCACAACTTTGCTGTACAAACCAGCAAAATCCCTTGTGGGTTTGTGTTGAATATCATGGGATGCATTTTGGGCGCTACCTTTGATTTCAGGAATGAACTTGAAGGAAAATCAGCCTTAGTTCCCATTCCTCATGACTGCCTTGGGACCCTCTTGCTGCATGTAGTCTTCTGAGGACTTTTCTTTGATGCCTCCCACTCTTACATTCATGATGCTCACTGTCTAACTCATGCACACAGTTCAATGTACACCATTCATCTCCTGAGTACCAAATCCAATGACCAGTTGGGTTTGGTGCTCAGAGGGTGAATGTTAACTACAGAACTGTACTGAGTCAGTAGATTTCAGGAGAGTGGAGGAAGGGGAAGGAAAAGCAATGAGACCATTATTCTGAAGTGATGTGCGTTGAAAGTGCAAATTGATGTCAGTTGCCTGTGCAGGGCACGCACATTTATGTCGACATACTTTACACTTCAATTAGTGAGGAGTTGTGCTGACTGTCAGTGGAATGTGAAAATGTAATTCAATAAGTGGTAGCTGAGTTGACTAGATGGAAAATGTAATCTGGAACCCAATTCCTATGGGATATTCAGTGATTGCATTCCAGTTCTCCAATCCTTAGACAGTTCTGCATCTCTCAAATCTAATTGCATTCACTAGGATCATTTCATACAATGGAGAAAGCCTCTAGAATGCATTTCCATATCATAAATCTCTCCACAAGTGAGAGAATTGTTTATCGATCCTCTACTCCCTTTTATAGCTCAGAATGTTGATGGTTTCTGTTCATATTGTTGGGGCAGTTCAAAGGTACAATGTTAGGCTGATTCAGTTAGTATCACACTATTTGCCTCCGAGTCAGAGGGTTGTAGGTTTAAATGTTTGTGTACAAGTTGTGTTCTTATAATAAATAATCCTTGCATTTGTTATGGCACTTTATCACATTGTTCAGAAGACTCAAAGTGCTTCAGAGAATATATTATAAAATAGTTTTGACTGTACATTTTGTGGGCGAAACCATATATATTTTTTTTAGCTCATAGACTTGGATGACATTCCAGTGTAGTTTTGTGGGAATGCTCCATTGTTGGAGGTACCATCCTCTGGATGTAATGTTAAACACAGGTATTGTCTGCTTCTTCAGGTGGACATTAAAGATCCCATGGCACTTTATGAAAAAAGAAAGGAATTTCTCCCAATGTTTTGGCCAACAATCTCTCAGAAAAAATTGGTCATTCACGTCATGCTTTTGGTGGGACATTGCTGTGTGCAAATAATTGCTGTTTTGCTTACAAACTACAAAAAATTTCCAGTAAATCCTGTGAAGGGTTTGAAGATGTCTTGACTACGTGATAAGATACTATTTCAAATTGCCAAACGCTTATTTTTTNATATTGAAGTAAGTCTTGTCACATGCAAACAGTTTTATTGAAAAGGTTAGCATTCAGAATAGTTATAGACAAGAAACTGCTGAAAACTCCACATGCTCAAGGGATCACACTTACTCTGTAAAATGAAACTTGTTTAAGAAAAAAAAAGGCGTTTCCTGAAATCTCTGGTCAGCCAAAATCAAGGTGGGGGAAGAAGAGGAGGTTCAAACAACCAGCACTAATGGACTGATTTAGATTCTCTTATTCTTTTGTGCACTGACCGAGTTTCAACAGCAGTTTTTGAACAATATATTTATCACCAGTGGAAATTATCACATCACACATTGCATTTTCCACACCACTTGTATAACATCCAAAAGAAATAATGAAGTTCAACCATGTTAGCCTAACTATAGTGATTCAGACCTACTGTTTAATGGTACTCCCTCTTTGTCGGCCTTCCCAACTCTTCCCTTCACAAGCTGCAGATCATCCAAAACTCTGTAGCTTGTGTACTCTTGCGCACCAGGCTCCGTGACCCCATCACTCACACCCTTGCCCGACTCCACTGGCTCCCCATCCCTCAAAGGATCGAATTCAAGATCCTCGTCCTCACTTTCAAGGCCATCCATGGCTTTGCCCCCTCCTAACTCTCTGACCTGCTGACTCCCTACCAACCTGCCCACTCCTTCTGTTCAGCGAGCTCTGGCCTGCTCTACATCTCCCGCCCGACCCGCCCTACCATCGGTGGCCGGGCTTTCAGCCTCTCTGCCCCCACAGGATGGAACTCCATCCACAGTCCCTTCGCCTCGCTTCCTCCCTTGCCTCCTTCAAGTCCAGTCTCAAGACCCTCCTCTTTGATCATGCCTTCAGTCGCCCTCCCACCTCTCTTGCCTTCCCTCACCCCTAACCCACCTCTCCCCCATGCTCGGGTCCTGACCCCTTACTGTCCAACACCTTGATGTCCTCCCAACATGAAAGGCGCTCTATAAATGTAATTTTGTTGTTGTTGTTGGTGTATTATCTACTCTCAAAGCATTCTCTATTGCCTACTATGCACTATTGTTGTTTAGCTAATGGGAGATCGAGTAGTTAGATTAATTTCATGGCTAGTTGGGTCTGTTTTGTATCACTGACACCCAAGGCAACAACAAAACAACAACATGCATTTATATAGCCACCCTCTCGCAGGGTAGCGTCCCAGAGCCCTTTAAGACCACGTAAAACCATTAACTTGTAGCTGTAGTGGAACTGTTGTGTCCGGTTGAAGTTATTCCGTTGAGCCCAGAAAGAGTTGATGTTCACTTTCTGTTGTTTCTTCCTCCTCCCCAAAGACTGAGAGAAATGAGAGTCGTCCGAGGATCAAACCTGATTTCCAGCCCAATCGCGCTTTCCGACGTCTTGTGGACTTCAATCACACAGCCGTCCACATCCCCACTGATATTTACGAGGGCTGTAAGTATTCACTGCTCTGCACTGCAGCTGGGCAGCTCTTTTGCCCTAAAAGCAACATGTTTTGATTTAGTCTGTGCTGGGACGTGAAGGGTTACACTGTGCTTTTGTACTATTATTTATTTTTTAGTTTTTTTTTACTTCTGCTCCTATGTTCTTAAGTGTTCCTTTGTGTTGTGAAAATATGACAGGTATTGTTGTGCAGTCTGAAAGGTTTTACAGGAAAAATTTGATACATAGGGAGGCTTTCTCCTTCCTTTCTCTGTTTCCAAGCGGAGCACAAGGTAATAAAGGGGTTTGGGTGGCAATTGTAGAGATTATTATAATGGTGGATTGCTTACAACTCATGGTGTTTATTAGTAAGTTATTTCCGTTTCATTTGCCCCACATATGTTGTCTGGATTTTTCAGGCAAGTTTTATTTTGTCAATGTCCTTCCCTCCTCTTTATCCCTGACTCTAAGCTGGGGTGTGAGTCCACAGCAGCTCTCTGATACCCAGTCTGAGTGTTCATCTTTCATGTGTGAGTTTAGACCAGGGCGGTCCAACCTTTTGGCTGCTGAGGACCGGATGCCCTATTTGAGCAATGTCCGCGGGACGCATATGCAATATTTTAGTGTTTCCCTTCCAACAACAACAACAAGATTCCATTTATAAAGCGCCTTTCACGTCAGGAGGACGTCCCAAGGCGCTGCACAGTTGGGTCATGACACGAGCAGGGGGGAAATGGTCAGGGTGAGGGGAGGGAAGGGAGGGAGCGAGGAGGGGGAAATGGTCAGGGTGAGGGGAGGGAAGGGAGGGAGCGAGGAGGGGGAAGAGAGTCGAGAGGGGAGCTGAAGGCTCGGTCAAAGAGAAAGGTTTTGAGACCGGCCTTGAAGGAGGAAAGGGAGGAAGCAAGGCGAAGGCACTGGGGGATGGAGTTCCAGAGCCTGGGGGCTGAGAGGCTGAAGGCCCGACCACCGATGGTAGGGCGGTTGGGGCGGGGGACGTGGAGCAGACCGGAGCCAGAGGAACGGAGGGTACGGGCAGGTAGGTAGGGGGATAGTAGGTCGGAGAGGTAGGAGGGAGCAAGGCCGTGAATGGCCTTGTAGGTGAGGATGAGGATCTTGAAATCAATCCTCTGGGGGATGGGGAGCCAGTGGAGGCGAGCGAGGGTGGGAGTGATGTGGTCCCGAAGCCTGGTGCGGGACAGTACACGAGCTGCAGAGTTCTGAATGACCTGCAGCTTGTGGAGGGAGGTGGCGGGAAGGCCGGCGAGGAGAGAGTTCCCATAGTCCAGCCTTGAGGTGACAAAGGCGTGAACCAGGGTTTCAGCAGCGTGAGGGGTGAGGTAGTGCCGTAGTCTGGCGATGTTCCGGAGGTGATGGAAGGCGGTGCCAGTTGTGGTGCGGATGTGAGGGAGAAAGGACAGCTCAGGGTCGAACAAAACGCCGAGGTTCCTGACTGGCTTTGAGAGGTGGAGAGTGCAGCCTTGGATGCTGATGGTGTCAGCGCCTGAGGTGCGGAGGCGCTGACGTGAGCCAATCAGGAGGGCCTCGGTTTTTCGCACGTTGAGCTGAAGAAAGTTGTCTCTCGTCCAGGACTCGATGTCGGACAGGCAGGCTGTCAGGACATCGGTGGTCGTGGAGTTGAGAGTAGAGGAGGAAAGGTAGAGTTGGGTGTCATCCGCATACATGTGGAAGTTAACTCCATGTCTGCGGATGATGTCACCAAGGGGGAGCATATAGAGGGTGAAGAGGAGGGGACCAAGGACAGAGCCCTGAGGGACACCACATGAGACAGTGCGGGGGGTGGAGGAGAAGCCATTCGTCGAGACAAAATGAAGACGGTGAGAAAGGTACGACCTAAACCATTCAAGGACAGTGCCTTGAAGGTTGAGGTGGGAGGACAAGCGGTGGAGTAGGATAGCGTGGTCGACCGTATCGAATGCTGCCGATAGGTCGAGGAGGACGAGGAGACAGAGGGAGCCCTGGTCACAGATGGTCAGGATATCATTGGTGACCTTGACCAGGGCAGTTTCTGTGCTATGGGCAGCACGGAAACCTGACTGAAGGGGTTCGAAAAGAGAATGGGTGGAAAGGAAAGAGCGCAGTTGGGAGGCGACAACTCTTTCCAAGACCTTGGAGAGAAAGGGGAGGTTGGAGATGGGCCGGTAGCTTGATAGCTGCGACGCATCAAGGGAGGGTTTTTTCAGGGTGGGCGTGATGATGGCAGTTTTTAAAGGAATGGGGACAGAGCCAGAGGAGAGGGACAGGTTGATGATGTTCCAGAAATGTAACATAACAATATTTACAGTTTATGGAAGGAGCGGTGGGCCAGATGAAATGGAGGAGGGGAGCTGGGGGGGCGGGGAGGTGAAATCATTCAGGACAGAACCAAGTGCAGTTTTCACGCTCCTTATTCATTCTGCTCAAAGAAGAGCTCAGCCTCAGTGACTTTCAGAAATTTGCTTTGAAATCGTGCTGCTGAACCATACAACAACAACAACAACAAGATTCCATTTATAGAGCGCCTTTCACGTCAGGAGGACGTCCCAAGGCGCTGCACAGTTGGGTCATGACCCGAGCAGGGGGGAAATGGTCAGAGTGAGGGGAGGGAAGGGAGGGAGAGAGGAGGGGGGAAATGGTCAGGGTGAGGGGAGGGAAGGGAGGGAGCGAGGAGGAGGAAGAGAGTCGAGAGGGGAGCTGAAGGCACGGTCAAAGAGAAAGGTTTTGAGACCGGCCTTGAAAGAGGAAAGGGAGGAAGCAAGGCGAAGGCACTGGGGGATGGAGTTCCAGAGCCTGGGGGCTGAGAGGCTGAAGGCCCGACCACCGATAGTCGGGCGGTTGGGGCGGGGGACGTGGAGCAGACCGGAGCCAGAGGAACGGAGGGTACGGGCAGGTAGGTAGGGGGATAGTAGGTTGGAGAGGTAGGAGGGAGCAAGGCCGTGAATGGCCTTGTAGGTGAGGATGAGGATCTTGAAATCAATCCTCTGGGGGATGGGGAGCCAGTGGAGGCGAGCGAGGGTGGGAGTGATGTGGTCCCGAAGCCTGGTGCGGGACAGTACACGAGCTGCAGAGTTCTGAATGACCTGCAGCTTGTGGAGGGAGGTGGCGGGAAGGCCGGCGAGGAGAGAGTTCCCATAGTCCAGCCTTGAGGTGACAAAGGCGTGAACCAGGGTTTCAGCGGCGTGAGGGGTGAGGTAGTGCCGTAGTCTGGCGATATTCCGGAGGTGATGGAAGGCGGTGCCAGTTGTGGTGCGGATGTGAGGGAGAAAGGACAGCTCAGGGTCGAACAAAACGCCGAGGTTCCTGACTGGCTTTGAGAGGTGGAGAGTGCAGCCTTGGAAGCTGATGGTGTCAGCGCCTGAGGTGCGGAGGCGCTGACGTGAGCCAATCAGGAGGGCCTCGGTTTTTCGCACGTTGAGCTGAAGAAAGTTGTCTCTCGTCCAGGACTCGATGTCGGACAGACAGCTGTCAGGACATCGGTGGTCGTGGAGTTGAGAGTAGAGGAGGAAAGGTAGAGTTGGTAGAAAGGTAGTTTATCATGTGATTTTGTTGGGGCACTCTGTGTAAACAGTGCTATGAGGCGTCCTGCCAATACAAAAGATATTATATAGATGGAAGTTTTTGTTACAAACAACAATGTGCTGGATGTATGGTTAATGATCAACGATGAATTTAATAATAATATTTGCATTTGATGTAGCACCTTATCATGCCGTCAAAATGTCTTAAAGTGCTTTCACAGGATTTCACTTTGAAGTATTGTAACTGTGTATTTGTAGGTGTAATAAGTGCTCTGTGACCTACCCAGGTAAAGGGTGTTATATAAATGAAAGCTGCTGTTGTTGTAGAAGTGGCATCCACTTAGTGAATGGAGTTTTTCAGACGGTTCACAAGAAGGCCCTCTGACCCACCCTAAAATCCTCCTATCAAGGTTTTTTTTTAAAACAATGAGTCCAATGTCTTCGTCTCAGCTACACTCATTAATTACCCTCTGGGTAAAGAAAAACTTCCTGGTGGCTGTCCTGAAATTGCCTTTTGCAACCCTAAACCCATGTCCATTTGTTCTAGTGTCTTGATGCTTCCTAAAGTATTCTTCTGGGTTTATTTATTTTAATCCCAATTAAAATTGTATGCATTTCTATTAAGTAACCTCTGAAGTGTCGTTTCTCAAGACTTGTCTATTGTTGCTCACTCCTCAAGCACTGGGGATCAACCCTGTGGCTCTCTTCTACACTGCCTTGGGGGCCTGGACAACTGCCTTGCGTCTCGGTGACCAGGGTGTCCTGAATTTTGCAGATTCAAATCCATATGAGAAAAAACTTTGATCCCTCCCCCCCTCCGAAATAATATTTTCTTACAATCTGAAGTGCAGTGGTGGTGCAACCTTCTTAGTATGTGATGTGATAATTATCAATTCATGAGACAGTTGTTTCTGGACATGCCCCAATTGGTCATTGGCCGTAGGTGAATACTACCCTGACATGATTCAATTGTATCACCAAAAACCCTTTGAAGAAGCCATTGAGCCAACATACCTGTAGGGTCTTTGAATTTACATGAGAGTCCCAGCATTTCAATGCTGATTTGGATAATACTGACTAAACTCAACTTTAAAGGTTGAATTAACCCTGGGTGACTCTGCCCTCCCTCCTGTAATATTGATTGGGCTTGAACTCAGTCCACAGTGTGGCTTTGGATGCCAGCTTGATACAATTTTCAAAGTTCCTTCAAAGGAGGTGGACTAAATGTAGAAATCATTTTCGTTGATCTTCTTTTGAACCATTTTTGATGCTTTGATATTCTGTTTAAGGTTTGGGGATCAAAACTAGATGTTCTATTCCAGGTCTGGTCCAGATAAAAAAAAAGTCCTTAATTTCATGGCGGTTTGTTGGACATTGCTGTGCATAAATTCTCTGCCATGTTTGACTTACACAACATACACATTCACTACAAATGATAGTATATCCTGTGAAGCACCTTCAGATGTCCTCCTGACTATATCAGATTTAAGGATTTAT